AGGATTCACCTTCATTCATTCACTGTATATATCCAGTTTCTTCAACAGCTTTTGTTGAAAAGACTGTCCTTTTCAAATTAAATGGTCATGCCACCCTTGTTGAAAATTATTTGGCTATATATGTGAGGATTTATTTCTGGATTTTCTATTCTATTCCACTGGTCTGTGTGTTTGTAAGCCAGTACCAAACTGTTTTGATAAAAGTGGCTTTTAATAAGTTTTAAAGTCAGAAAGTGTGAGACTTCTAACTTTCTTCATTTTTTTCAAGATTTTTTTGGCTATTCAGTGTTGAATTTAAGAATGGATTTCTGTATTTCTCCAAAAAATGTTGAAATTTTGATATGGATTGCATTGAATCTGTAGATCGTTTTGCATGGTATTGACACTCCTTGATTAAATTTATTCCTAAGTATTTTTATTATTTTTGATGCTATTGTAAATGGAATTTTTTCTTATTTCCTGTTTGTACTATTCATTTTTAGTATATAGAAACAAAATTGATTTTTTTCCTGTTGATTTTGTGTCTAGCAACATTGCTGAATACTTTAATTATAACATTTTTTTGGTGGAATATTTAGGGTTTTCTACATATAAGATCATTCTGTCTGTGAACAGAGATAATTTTACTTTTTCCTTTCCATTTTGGGTGCCTTTTATTTCTTTTCCTTGCCAAATTGCTATGGCTAGGTCTTTCAGTGCTATGTTGAATAGAAGTGGCAAAAGTGGATATCTTTATCTTTGTTCCTGATCTTAGAGGAAAGGGTTTCAGTTTTTCACCATTGTGAATATTAGCTTTGGGCTTTTTATACACGGCCTTTATTATATTGCGATAGGTTCCTTTTATTCCTGTTTTGTTGGTTTTTTTTTTTTTTTTGTCATGAAAGTGCGCTAAAGTTTTTCAAATCCTTTTCTGTATCAGTTGAGATGATTATGTGGTTTTTCCTTCATTTCCTGAAAGTGGTGTTACATTGATTTTCCTATGTTGAGTCATTCTTGCATTCTAGGAATAAATCCTTTTGGGTTATGGTATACAATCCTTTTAATGTGCTATTGAATTTTGTTTGCTAGTATTTTGTTGAGGATTTTTGCATCAGTATTCCTCAGGGGTATTGGTGTGTAGTTTTGTTTTTGGTTTTTTTTTCTCCCTCCTTTTCATGTCTTTATCTGGCTTTCATACTAAAGTAATGTTGGCCTCATAGAAGGAGTTTGGAAGTGTTCCCCTCTCGTCAGTCTTTTGGGAGAGTTTAAGGAAGATTGGTGTTAATTCTTTTTTTAATGTTTGGTAGAATTCACCAGTGAAACCATCTGGTCCTTGGGTTTTTTACTGTTATTAGGAAGTTTTTGATTACTGAGTCAATCTCCTTAATAGTTATAGGTTTGTTCAGACAATCTATTTTATTAACATTCAGCTTGGTATGTTGTATGTTTCTAGGAATTCATCCATCTCATCTAGGTTATCCAATTTGTTGTTGTATAATTGTTCATAGTACTTTCTTATACTCCCCTTTATTTTTGTAAAATTGGTAATAATAGCTCCTCCTTCGTTTCTGGGTAAAATAACTGTTTTTGGTTGTCAGTCTACTTAAAGGCAATTTTGTTGATCTTTTGGAGAACTAACTCTTGGTTTTGTTGATTTTTTTTTTTTTCTGTATTGTTTTTCTATTCCCTATTTTGGTTATCTTTGCTCTATTTATTATTTCCTTCCTTCTACTGGATTTGGGCTTAGTTTTATTTTCTGTTTTCTTAAGGTGTAAATTTAGTTTGTTGATTTGGACTATTTCTTCTTTTTTAACATGGGCATTTACAGCTCTAAATTTCCCTGCCATCACTCCTTTCACTGCATCTTATTAATTATAATGGTATGTTATATGTTCACTTTCATTTGTTTCAAGATAATTTTCTAATTTCTCTTGTCATTTCTTTGACTCATTTCTTGTTTGAGTGCTTAATTCTCCCGTATTTGTGGATTGTTCTGTTTTCCTTCTGTTTATTTCTAGATTCATTCCATTGTTATTGAAAAAGATACCTTGTATGATTTTAATCTTTTAAAATTTAAAAAATTTTGTTAATTGACACATAATAATTATACATATTTATGGAGTACAGTGTGATGTTTCAATACATGCATACATTGTGTAATGATGAAGCTGGTATTTAGCATCATCTCCTACATTTATCATTTCTTTGTGATGAGAACATTCAAAATCCTCTGTTCTAGCTATTTTAAAATATACAATACAATATTGTTAGCCATAGTCACTCTACTGTGCAATAGAACTCCAGAACTTATTCCTTCTGTCTAACTGTAACTTTGTATCCATTGATCAGTCTTTCCCATTCCCCGCTCCTCAGCCTCAGGTAACCACTATTTTACTCTTTACTTCTATGATATCACTTTTTTAGATTCCATCTATGAGTGAGATCATGTGGTATTTGTCTTCTGTGCCTGGCTTATTTTACTTAGCATAACAGTGTGCAAGAGTTCCCCTTTCTCCACAGCCATGCCAGCGTTTGTTATTTTTTGTCCTTTTGATGATAGCCATTCTAATTGGGGGGAGGTGATATTTCATTGTGGTTTTCATTTGCATTTCCCTGATGATTAGTGTTGTTGAACATTTTTTCATGTATCTTTTTGCCCATTTATATGTCGTCTCTTCTCTTTTCTAACCTTTCGACACTTGTTTTGTGACGTAACATATGGTGTATCCTGGAGAATGTCCATGTGCACTTGAGAAAAGTGTATATTGTATTGTTGGGTGAAGTGTTCTGTATGTTTTTTTGGTCCGGTTGGTCAATAGTGTTGTTCACATCCTCTGTTTCCTTATTAATATCCTGTCTGATTGTTCTATCCATTATTGAAAGTGGGGTATTGAAGTATCCTGTTATTATTGTAGTGCTATCTGTTTCTCTTCTCAATTCTGTCAACATTCGCTTCGTATGTTTTGGTGCTCTGATGTTCGGTTCATATATGTTTATTGTATCTTCTTAGTAAAATGTGTCCCTTTTATTATTATATAATGCCCTCCTTTGTTTCTTGTAACAGTTTTTGACTTAAAGTCTATGTGTCTGATATTAGTACAGGTTGAGTATCCTTTACTTGAAATGCTTGGGACCAAAAGTGTTTTGGATTTTTTTCAGATTTTGGAATATTTGCATATACTTAATGAGATATCTTGGGGATGGGACCCAAGTCTAAACATGAAATTCGTTTATGTTTTATATATACCTTATGCACATAGCCTGAAGGTAATTTTATGTAATATTTTAAATAATTTTTGCATGAAACAAAGTTTGTGTACATTGAACCATCAGAAGGCAAAAATACCACTGTCTCAGCCACGCATGTGGACAGTCTGTAATTATTTGGCATCACCATTATTCCTGACTCTGAATTTATGTGCTACCAATAAGCAGCCATTTTATTACAATTATTCACATGTAAGTACTTAACAGTAAGAAATATAACATACCACTAATACAGTAAAATAATATGTTAAGTGTAAGTAAGCAGCACAGCAGCATCTCTAGCACACCTGTATCAGCTGTTAAACAATAGAAGCAACAAACAACAGCAGTCTTTCAGTCTCTACCTATAATGCTGTGTTTTGACTAAAAGGTTATTGTATACCGTACTGTATTTTTTTAAGTGAGAAGAAACATCAGGAGCTGTGGAGGGACCAGGAGTTTGGTCCTGTCGGGATGAGGCGGCATTTTGCTGGATGGCTTTTTTAAATGTTTCCTCCAGAACCATCCGCCTTACTAACGATGGTTTTTGTCTTAAATATCTCTTTTTGATTTTATAAACTGACGTGATTTCTTGTTCTGTTACCGCCAGTACATACTACTCTACTCTAGACTTCGGTAAGCTCATGATGCAGTTTCACCATGTGGTCTGTAGATAGTTTTCTGCAGTGTTAACAATGTCATCTTTGTTGTCCACTTGTGGTATGGCTTTTCCTTTTTTCTTGGTTGGGCATTTGCTTCGTTGCTGTAGATCCTTAACCAGTTTCTAGAGTTCCCACAGTTATTTTGGTCAGTTTTTTGTTTAGTTGATGTTTCTTTGGTGGAATGAGGGCCTATAGCTTCATAGAACGCCATCTCTCTGGCATTGTTCCCTCCTTTTTACTTATGAAGAATAATTTCAGTGGGTACAGAATTCTAGATTGGTTGTTGTTTTTGTTTAACACTTTACATATTTTACTCATTTTGCTTTCATGGTTTGTAAAGTGGTGTGATATAATTCTTCTACTTGTAACTCTACAGGTATGGGTTTTTTTTTCCTCTCTGCTTTCTTTTGAGATTGTCTTTGATTTTCTGCACTTTGATTTTGACATGCCTACATGTAGGTTTTTGGTATTTATCTCGCTTGGTGGTTTCTGAGCTTCCTGGATCTATGGTATTTTTATCATTAATTTGGAAATTTCTCAGCCATCATTACTCCAAATTTTCTTTTCTTTTTTTGCTCTTCTGTCTCCTTTTTTCCCCTTCAGTTGTCCCATCACTTGTACGTTACTGCTTTTGTAATTGTCTTACAGTTCTTGGACATTCTAGTTTTGTTATTTTTGTCATTTTCTTTTTTGCATTTGAATTTGGGACATTTATATTTACATATCTTGGGGCTAATCGATTGTGGATTTTTAAAATTTTTTCCCCTTAACTGTTCATTACAGGTATATTTAAATACAATTTACTTTTTGCATATTAATCTTGTGTCATGCTACTTTGTTAGATTCGTATTGTTTATGTAATTCTTATTAAAACGTTTGTATACATTAACATTGAGCTACAACTGCAGAGGTCAGAATTTAAAATCAGTGAAGTTTTGGCCAAACATACCATCTTAAGACTGTGTAGAAGAATGAAGGTGAGCTAATAAGATGGCAAATAGATTCTGTTTTCTGTTTTGTACATTATTTATGATTGTTTTTCCTTAGTATGATGATCAGAAATGAAAAATACTTGATTGTTTCAAGTTTATTTTTTTTAATAATCTTTTTTAGGAGCTGTGGCCCTCAAGAATCTTCAAATTAAAGAAAATGCCCTGGTAGGTTTTGTCTGTGATAAATGTGTAATGTTGTCATGTTTAATTATGTACACTTCTTCCTGATTCAGTTTGCCACCTTAAATTATTTAAGTTCTAGAAAATTTTTTCAAAATGTAAATATTGCAAAATAGAATTTTAATCTTCCTAAAAGCACAAACTGACAGTATAATTTTTCCTATTTAAAAATACTTACATTTTTATTTATTCTCATATGGTTTTATTTTGAATGCTTGTTTTCCAGTTGTTTCTAAGTTTTTTAAAAACTGTTTTAACCACTTTTTTTTTTTTTTTTTTTAAGACAGAATCTTGCTCTGTTGCCCAGGCTAGAGTGCCGTGGCATCAGCCTAGCTCACAGCAACCTCAAACTCCTGGGCTCAAGGGATCCTTCTGCCTCAGCCTCCCGAGTAGCTGGGACTACAGGCATGTGCCACCATGCCCGGCTAATTTTTTATATATATATATATTTTTAGTTGTCCAGATCATTTCTTTTTATTTTTTTTAGTAGAGACGGGGTCTCACTCTTGCTCAGGCTGGTCTCGAACTCCTGACCTTGAGCGATCCACCTGCCTCGGTCTCCCAGAGTGCTGGATTACAGGTGTGAGCCACCGCGCCTGGCCTGTTTTAACCACTTTTTAGCGTACAATTCAGTGGCATTAATTACATTCACAATATTGTGCAACCCTCACCGGTATCTATTTCCCAAAGTTTTCACATCCCAAAAGAAGTAACTCTCCCTTCCCTCTTTCCATAGGCCCTGGTAACCTCTAATCTACTTTCAGTCTCTAAATTTGGCTATTCTAGGCATATAAGTAGAATCATGCCATATTTGTCCGTTTATATCTGGCTTATTTCACTTAGTATAACATCTTCAAGGTTCATTCATATTGTAGCATGTATCAGAATGTCATTCATTTTTATGGCTGAGTAATATCCCACTCTATGTATATATGCCACATTTTGTTTATTCATTCACCTGTTGATGAACACTTGGGTTGTATTTGTCTTTTGGCTCTTGTGAATAATGCTGCAATGAAATTTAGTGTACATGTCTCTGTTCTAGTACCTGCTTTCAGTTTCTTTGGGTATATACAAGTGTAGGAGTGGAATTGCTGGATCATATGGTAATTCTGTATTTAGCTTTTTTAGGAACTGCCAAAGTTTTTTCCATAGCGGTTGCACCATTTTACATTCCCTTCAGAAATGCATGAGTGTTCTGATTTCTCCACATCCTCCAAATCCTCCAACCTTTGTTTTTGTTTTTTTTTAATAATAGCCATCTTAATGGGTGTGAAGTGGTAGTTTATTTTGATTAGTATTTCCCCAATAACTAGTAACATTGAGCATCCTTTCATCTGCATGTTGCTATTTGTCTATGTCCTTTGAAGAAATGTCTATTAAGTTCTTTACCGTTTTTTAACCATGGTTTTTTGGTTGTTTTTGAGTTGTGGGAGTTCTTTATATATTCTTCATGTTGATATATGATTTGCACATATTTCCCCCATTTTATGGGTTGCCTTATCCCTCTGTTGATAGTGTCCTTTGATGCATAAAAATTTTTGATTTGGTAAAGACCAGTTCAACTATTTTTTTCATTACCTGTGCTTTTGTTATCACATCCAAGAAATCATTAGCAAGTCTAATGTCATGAAGATTTTCCCTTTGTTTTCCTCTAAGGATTTTATAATTTTAGCTTTTATGTTTAGACCTTTGATCCATTGTGAATTAATTTTTGAATATGGTATAAGGGTCCAACTTCATGTTTCTGCAAGTGGATATCCAGTTTTCCTAGCATGATTTATTTTCAGGCTGCCCTTTCAACCATTGAATGTGAATAATTTTTTTTGAAGATATTTTTTGCGAAGTGTGAGTTTTGCAAAATGAAGTTTTAATTTCCTGAAAAGCATAAATTTACAGTAGCATTTCCCACTATTTTCTTAAAATAATACAAAAATGGTAATGATTCTGGTAGGGTATTTTTTGTGGTTAGTGTTACTGTAGACCCTAATTATAAAAAGAGCAGCCAACCTGAACTTTATGGATTTGAGAATAATATTTCAGTTGTATATACGTTTAAATAAATGTTGATGGTAAAGAGGATGTGTAAATTAATTAAAAAACCCTTCAAATAATTTTTGGAAGAAAAATGTAATTATCTGTGTTGTTGAACTCTATGTACTAATGTT